GCTAACACTGTTGAACAAGCATGAATGATGCATAAGGGAAAAGCATCACATAAGAAAAAACAGTATCTTTCAGTTATTAAACTGTAACACAAAAAACATTATGTCAAAAGCATTCTAAAACTGCACAACCTAAAACCAGCAGAATAAACTGAGGAAAAAGTAGTTGCAGTGTACTGAGCATTAAAAGAAGGATTAACTTCTACATGTAAACTTTGAATAATAAAGCCCAGCAACTTTACAGCTGTCTGAGGTGGCATTCAAAAGAAAAATCCTTTCAGTTACCTGCTCTCAACACTAACAGTGGTATATTATCCATAAGCATAGTTCCTTGAAATGTGATTACAGTGGAAAAACAAAATGGGTACCAATAATCTCACTCTGTTCCATATTTACAAAATATTTTCAGAGGATAGGAATGTAGTAATTAATTTATCATGGACAACAAAGATTCTATCTTGCAAATTAATGTCTGAAAGCTAAGCAGAAATTTGTAGGCAAAGCTAGTCAGATGTTAACTCCTATGTTCACACAAGTGATGCTGTTAACACAAGTGTCCTTATATAAGTGAGTGCTTCCTAGATTGATTTATGTGTTATGAACATAGCTCCTACTTTACACACATGGAATAGAGGTGCACATCTCCTTCTATGATTTCTTTCCTTCTATGGTTACTTTGTCATTTGACTAGCTTTATCATTTGCTGAACCTCTGCAAAGTCCAGGCAGTGCTTGCAGTGCTTGGCTTAGCGTGGTGCTGACATCTGCACTGTGCTGTGCTACCCAAAGCCCACTTCTCACCCTAGCTCTGTCAAAAACTAGAGGTTCCCCTACCACCCTCACATTCTGCCATATTTTTGGAACAAGTCCTTGCCGGGCTTCCCACAGTTCTTCCCAGCTGAGGCCAGTCTTGCCCCAGCAGAGATCAATTTGCTTGCAAACCCTGCTGAGGCTGTAAACTTCAAAATTATAGTTTTCCAAGCTGAAGGAAAAAATGCACATCTTCTGTTTCTGTAGAGAAAGCTGCATTATTTTGGAAAAAAATAAAAAATAAAAATAAATTTAAAAGTTCATCAATCAAAGAAATAATTCAGACAGAAAAAAAGTGAGAATATTTACAGAATGCTCGTAGAGTTCTGTTTGGACCAGAACTTGAGCGCTACACTCTGTTGTTAAAGCTGCCAGTTTTATTCTGGTTTTCTTTGACCATGCCCAGAAACGCCAGGAGTAGAATTAAATCTCTCCCAGGGGAACTCTCCTTCATGCATAGAATGACAAGCCAAAGAAACTCTGTCTAATGACTGAGAGATGGCATTGTATTAGTGCTGCTAGCAATTTAATACCACATACAGAAGCAATCTCCATGGGAAAAAACATCGTCTGACTTCTCTTCACCCAGCTAAGCACTCAAACCACTATCAGAAAGTGAGGTTTTCACCTTGCAAGTATCTTCTTTCCCCACTGTTTTCAATAAGCCTCAATTTCACTTCAGAGTCTCACATTTTCAGGCAGAAAAGATTATACATAGTATATATAATATTTGAAACATATATGTAAATATCTTTGGTATGTGTATATATATGAATTTATTTTGTGGTCAAATGTGAAATTTGGGTAACCAGTGTAATATCTTTAACTATTTTTAAAGGTTTCACTAACTGAAAATTACAAGGCAGAAATCCAAAGACTTTCACAACTGATTTCACAATGTTTTTTTGCTTTTGGAACTTCAGGATCCATAACACCGACAACTTACTTTTCTTAACATCTTTATCAAAAATACCCTTAAAAATGGGGTAAGTATTAATAGCATGGTGTTAAAGAAAACATATTTATTTCTGACAAGTTCCAATGGGCAAACTACTGATACAAACTATATGAGAACTGAGAACTCTTTTGCTGCCCATTGCGCGCAACTGCATGGGAATTGTGAGATTACTGCATTTCAGAGAAACTGCTTTAGTCCCTGTTTATAGACCTCTGGGTAATTTTTTTTTTCTGAAACCAGAAAAGTAGTTGAAGTATGAAGCCAGCTAAGCTGGTTCATGTAGAAGAAACTGCTAGAAATGCTTACTAATAAAGGAAGATCATGATTTGCCAAATGAGCCAGCAAATGAGGGATAATCCTCAATATAAGAATGCAACACAGAATAAAAACTGCAAGGAAAATTCTAAAACTGAAGTAAAATCTCTTTGGATCATTTCCTGAAGCTTCTACATAAGGCACAGATGATTTTATGCATTCATTTAGAGTCAGGTGATAGTGATGCACCTGCGTGAATTTTTTCTTTCTGTGATTTTTTTTCTTTACTTATTCAACTATTGTTCCCTGCTCTCCATTACCATTTGATTTCAGTAGGAATCCTACATCAAGAACAAATAGGGTCTCTACTATCCTTTTAAATGGAAATGTAAAAGTCTCAGCATGAAACTGTAAAAGTTCTTGCAATCTGATTGACCTGCAGACTACATCTGAAAAGTGCTGGCGTAAGTGTTACAAGGCCTCCATAAAAAGGTCTCATTTCTACCTCTGGTCTTTGCTGTAACAACTCACTGTGAGTTCAAAAAAAATTAATTTTGCCCCAATGGTGGATATCGCTACATTTAACAAAGGACAGGTGATTGATAATTAAGCACATATTGCAAATAGTTACTTTGAATATTCTTGCAATCTCATAAAATCTAGGGAAATGCATTTAAGATGATATGCACTTAAAAATGAGGGAAACATCTTTTGTCCCTGCAGAGTTGTCCTCAGGAAGGTTTATTCTCATATACTTAAGATTTAAACAGTTTTCAACTTTGAGCTGAAAAAGGCAATGAAAAAATGAACAACAAATATAGCCTATCTTGTTCTTGAAGATACCAATTGTATGCAGGAAAGCAATGAGCCTTGTGGATCAGATTTGTAAAAGGATCTTAGCACTGCACTGAGAATCAGTATGGTCACAAAAATAAAAAACACCCATCCTCTCCTTCCCCCCTCTGCCTCCCAAAACTATTCAAATTCCTTTTTTATCTTAGAAGGACACTTTCCTTACACAAACAAAGACATCAAGCAACTTCATGCTCTCAGACCAGCATGCTTGTACGCATTCACGGCAGGAAGCAATTAAGGAACTTCTCAGAAAATTAGGTTCCTCCAGATATAGCAACTGCTGACTCCTGGGCTATTGCAGTGGTATAGAAAAGCCTAAAACATAATTCAGCACCAAAAACTTGTGTGTCTTCAAGCCAAATTTTTATCTTAATTCTGTATGTTATGCTGAAATGTAATGTTTCATTACATGAAACCACTGTTAATTAGTGGTTTTACTACATGCTTGCATTTCTGTGCAGCTCCACAAAACAAGTTTTCAGATTGATATTAGACACAATTTTTAATTTATGCCAAGAAGAATAACTGCTACTGGGCAAAATGCCTGGTGGATTAACATCCCAGTCCTAAGCAGGGCTTAAGTTTTGGTGGCTTGAAAGAGTATTATCTGCAGTCGCAGCAAATTAACCTGTCTAACATCGAAGGGCAGAACATATGAGCCTCCATATTGTCCTTAGATTCAGACCACATCTAAACGTAACAGAAATACTCAGGAAAAAAAAAAAAAAAAAAAAAAAAGAGAAAAGAGAAAAAAAAAAAAAAAAAAGCACACTATAAGTCACTAATCGAATGTTAAAAAATAATCTTTTTCATTTCAAGAAGTTTTAACGCATGGCTGTATCATATAAAATCATTCAAGAATGACAGACAATGTTTAATTTTACTCAACAGTAAGGCTTAGCAAGTAAGAGGAAGTTTGGACAAGGAGGGCGGTGGAGGCTGACTCTTCCCCCGCATCCCGCTAGAGGGAGGTGTGAGATAAAGGAGCACCTCGCTCACCCACGGGTGCCTAGAGAGCCTCTGCTCACAACGGGCACTGCTACGTGAAGACCGGGATCCGATTTACTGGGGGTGAAGGCAAACTGTGAGTCGAAGAACGGTTTTAGCAGCACCTGTAAGAATGCATCCATTGTGGCTGGGATAGTGAATCTTCTTTATATTAAGCCACGTCCTACTGAAAGGCCTTCACAGCCTGTTTCACTGCTCCCTTGTACCTCTGTCAGCCCATATGGATGCTTATGCATACACATAAAAACAAAAACTGTATATATTACATTATTACACCTTTAAAACAATATGTTGTTAAATAAATCTATGCCAGTAATAAAAAGGTTGATGAAAGCAAGAATTAACTGTAAAAGTTACAAAGATGTCACTTGGACATCAGAAGTTCGGCTTCATTCTGGCTAATCTTGTCTCATTTCAGGAATGAATAGTTGAAAATTTGAACCCTAGCAAACTGGAAGGGTTTTCACCTGAAACAGTAATGATTCTTGAAATACATTTCCAGGTTTTTAACATAATGGCCTGTCATACATGCTTGCCATAACATTTTCAGTCTTTGAAAAAATGACCAATCAAGCTTAGGTTTGGTTTTATTTTTCCGGTGACTATTCTTAAAGATAAATTACAGGTATGTTCACTTTGCTGTCTGTCAGCTTGGAACATATGCAAAATAAACGAGCTTTCATCAAGAGCAAGTACATCTTAGAAGCTCAGATTTTATTTTTTCCTCTTTTACCAGAATTTCTGCATCATATATGAAGTATAACGTGTACATAGTGATTTGGCTGGCACCCTAGAGTTTTCAACTAACTAACTGTCATTTATTGTCTTCATGATTCTTCACGATCTTTACTCTCTTTCATAGAGAGTGTCAGTCTCTTTTTCCAGGTTACAAGTGACAGATGCAAGGAGATGGTCTCAGCTTGCACCAGGTGAGGTTTAGATTGGATACTAGGGAGAATTTCTTCATGGACAGTGTGGTCAAACACTGGAATGGGCTGTTCAAGAAAGCAGTGAAGTCCCTGTCCCTGGAGATAGTTTAGAGACATGTGGACATTGCACTCAGGGACATGGTTTAATGATTGTGTTGCTAGGTCAAGTTGATGGTTAAACTTGGAGATCTTGAAGGTCTGTTCCAACCTCCAATTCTGTGAGTCTATGATTCTAAGTAAACTGTAGGAAACGTGGAGTCACTGGCAGATGTAAGTAGTGGGAATTTAAAACCTTCCTTCTTATATATTGCATAATTACATCACAGTCATCTACCCACCTACACTGTAGGTAGAAGTTAAGGTTAAGTCAGAAATATTACCACTTCCATCAACTGCAAGTTTTTGTAACAGTGAGGCAATTTTGATTGCAATGGCCACAGTAGATAATATACATAATTAACATAGGCATTATATGTCTTTCCAAGTAAAATTTGATAATTACAGATGTTCAAAATGATCCAGTTAATTGTTTACTCTAATGTATTTTCACCTCAGGAAAGCTTCCGGCAGTCATAATTTCAACTCTTGATTCCAACCTGAGTTATTGGTAGGCTACAGATTGTGCTGGTATTGTTTTCTACTACTTTATTGATTTTGTCTTAAACCCACAAGGGACTTTCTGGAAGATACTGTGATCTCCTCTAGTTCACTCCTAATAAAAAGGCTTGTAGAAATAACACATTCATTTGATTTTAATATTTGTCTGTCAGAAAGAAATGCCTGCAGATAAGGCTTATCCTGCACGACTGTGTTTAAAAGGCTGTAGAATACAGTAGATGTTTTTTTGCTCAGTAAAAAAGCTACATGGATACAAGGAAAATAGAACAAAAACAAAACAAGTCTAATAGCTACAGTGCTTACAAGGTCAAAATAATCTAATCTCCTCTGCTGGCTATAAACTATATGACTCCATTGATGCTAGTGAAGCTTTAATTAAAAAACATTCTTTCAAAAAAATTGTCCTTTTTTCTGTTTTGTTTTTTTTTCTTTTTTCTTTTCTTTTTTAACTCAGATAAATCTAATGTTGGCTGCGTCTGAATTACAGAGAGACAAATCAAGGCAGTAGGCAGAATTATATAATTTAGAATCCAAACTAAATCCAGATGGAAGGTGAACTGGATAATGGCAAAGTTCAGAGTTTTCCTGTTTGTTGATTATTTGGTTTTCTGCAGGGAATATGAGGGGAAAAAAAAAAAAAAGAAAAATAGAAGACAAACTACTGAGGATGCTCTTAAATGAAGAAAAACCTTTTACAACAATCAGAGAATGGAAACTCTCATGGCTTTTGTTCTCTGACTCCTCAACCTTTGTGTAGCCTGACTTGTTTGTTGGACAAAAGTCTTTTTAAAAGATAGCAATTCTCAGTGGAAAAATTGTAGATGACCAAATGAAAGTTATTTCCAGTTCTAAATCTTCTGTTTTCAACAAGTGAGGTTTACTCAAATCTGGGCATGAGAAAATAGCTGCCTCGAGTACGTGCTTCATTTTGGAGTTTTCTTACTAATAGTCTCAAGATTTTTATAAATTTGAATTTTGCTGAATTATTAAGTAATGCTACAGGCTAATGCAATTTCGTTGTCTCCTAATTTGAAAACATGATGACAATTTTATCAATGTTATTAATAGAAATTCATATTGGAACCCAGATAGCCAGCTAGTACTCTGAACAATTTCTGTCAAACTAAGCCGAGAATACTGATAGCTATATACTTCACAGAGTGCAGAACAAAATGAATTTAAACCATGTTAACAAAAGGCACAGCTTTCCCTTCAGCAGGATTTTAGTTGGATTTTCTTTTAATTACTTACTAGAATAATTTACTAATCTATTGCAGTGCAATTAAAAGCCAGATTGGATTGAACCCATATTTGGAAGAACAGAGCATTCACTTTCTTCTGCTGCCAAAATTCTGTTTAATCAGCACTGAAATTTGCAGCATCCACCTTTCCATCTAAATTGCTGTAGCCAGCTAATATGCAGTGTCTCCATAACTGTAAAATATGCCTTCAATCAGTTTTCAGATTTTCCTGTGCATCTAGGTTGAGTATATTCACAAGCAAAACCTTTACCAGTATCAAAGAAGCAGATCACAGACCTGCAATATATTCAGATCTGTTTCAGGGCAATGAATTTATTCACTAATTAAGGTGAGTTGAATCCATTACTCCAGGTCCAGGTCTGAAAGCAAATCTATTATTTTAATATTCAGCCTGTTCAGTAGAGTCAGACTGGAGTGTGTGTCTGTGTGTGCGTGTGTGCAAGGAAGAGCAAGAGGAAGAATCACTAACCACAGAAACATTAAAGCCCATATGTTCCCAACAGCTGCACAAGCTGGAAAATTGTCAGAAGTTGGGCAATATCAGTCTAACAGTGTCATTCGCCTGAGTGCACAGAGTGCACAGTTTTAATGTCACAGCCAAATTGCTGCATATGCTGCTGTCTCAATAATAGTTGTGGAGCTTTACCCTACTCCACAAGTACCCTTCATCTTCTAAATGGTTTTAGTGAAATAAATAGCATCTTTCTGCACAGGAACTCCTACTGCATTTCAGTGGGATGACTTCCAGGATAAGAGACTGCTATACTGAAAAAGTTTGGCAGGCTTTGGTACAGTGAAGGAGTCAGAAGCAAAAAATTAGGAAAAACTGATGATGAAGATGACAGTATTACTTTACAAAAAAAAAAAAAAAAATCATTTTCAGTAACTTGTCATCATCAGTAGCTGAAATTTCTGTCTGGGCACAAGGAATATTAGAAAGGGCAGAGATTGCTGCTGCAGGAATAAGGTCTTACATTAGAGATGTCCTCTTCTTGTCCCACCACCACTAATTCTTCCCATTGACCTCATCTTTTCTGGGGTTGAAAGCTGCAGCTGCAGAGCATGGGTTTATTCTTACTGAATACCTCTTACAGTCAACCCTTGATACAGCTCAGGAACCTCAGTGGAAGGAGTAGGATGCCTAATTTCCAAGTACGATTGCAGATTTTTAACTGTCAGATTTAAATAAGTACAACATGAAACAAACAAAAAAAAGTCTGATTTTGTTTCTAGAATATTATCATTTTCCACTGATACATCCTAAAGATGTTGCCTAGGTTTGTCCTTGAGAAGACTGAATTTTGTTCTGTGTTTCCACCATAAAACTCCCACCATTTTGACGTGCATTGAACCAGACCTCTTTCTAGGTCTGGGTAAAGCCCTGTAAAGCACCTTCAAGGTGAATTGAACTGTGCAGCTTTGAAATATGTTATTGTATTAGGAACCTGACAAGTATCACGTTTCTACCCTATGCATTCATTCTTTGAAATATAACCACAGTCAGCTTCTAATATGCCAAACAATAAAACTCTTTTTCCTGTCATCTATGAAGGAGTATTTTCTTGATACAGAAAACTAGCTGTCTATTTTTGTTTGGCTTCCCTAGAAAACAAAAACTATAGGTTTAATTTGAGTGATAACATCACTTCAAAATGATAAATTGTCACTGTAGTTTGGAAAATTCAAAATTGCTAAGAAAAACACAACCACAATAGAGATGTAACTGATGAAAAACTATGACAGCAGGGCTTTTTTCTCTGTTGAGAAGCATGTTAAACAAGACAATGTTAAAATTAAATTGATCTTCGTGTAAGAAGTCTTAAGATCATATACTTCATTTCAAACATAAAGAAAAGGAGTTAATATTTTCAATTTTCATTTGTTAACTTCAATGTTCATGCCTTTGGTCTCACATTAGAATTTATTTCTGTGTGTCTCTTAAAGTCAAGGGGAAGGAGCATATTACTGAAAAGCAAATAGGCTGAATTACCATATTAGACTTAAATGACAAGGCACTGTTTCATACACAGGATGTAGGAGCCTAAACAGGAGCTGACGAGTTGTTAAGTATGAAATTAGATGTGTTAACTGCATGTAGTGAAACTGTCAATTTAAAAGGTGTCAAGTGCTGTTTTGCAGGTTCACTTAAGACATCCAAGATAGGATCTCCATCCAGGGATGAGAGAAAATCATAGAAATACAGGAGATGCTCAGCTGCCTGGCAAGACTGGCCTTTAAATTTGCCTTTAGTTCATTTTAAATTCACCCTCAATTAAGTTCTCCTTGAAGAAACACACATGGCTTGGCTCAGTAGAATAAAATAGACATCTACTGCCATTTGAGATGGCCTAGGGCATTTAAGACATCCATATTTGTCTCTCAGATGTGACACAGAACAAACAGGATACACTTGGCACCTTAACTGGCACTAGATCCCTGTTTTAGACAACTGATTTTGCTGTTTATTGACAAGTCAACCAGTTTACTTTCTAGGCACCACTAGTATTGCCTTATTCACTATCAACTAATATGTGAATCTGAGAAACTCAAGATGCATTTAGATATCAACATGTAGATATTTAACCTAAGATTTCTTAACGTGACACACAACCTTAAGGTTGCATGTTATGTTTGAGAACTCAACTCACCTCCAGGTGCTGTCTCAGGAGAGCATGGGTCTTAGATCCATATGGCTTGTTTACCTGTATTATGCACGTCTCAATCTTCCTAGCACATTTCCAATGCACTAGATATCTATGTTTGGGCAGCTAAACTGAAGTTAGTCCTTTAGAACATGTCCATGTAATGAACCCAGCAAGAAGCTCTGACTTTGCTCTAGAATTCCTAGGCATGTACATTTAGGCTGTTGGAATTTTCTCTACTTATTCAACTAGCGCTTAGTACATGTCATCACTGTTCAGGACATGAGTGTTTGAATTGCCAAAAACAGGCTATGGAGTATATAGAAATCCCTTGCCCACCTAAAAACTTCCAGCAAAAGTTTTTAAGAGGCAAAAGGCGGCTACATTTTACCAATGATTTTTTATGTAAATTTTTCAAAGAACAAGAACTGATTTTATGGACAGATTCTCATTCTAATCATAATATTGTTCCAAAGCATGCTGAGTACTTCTTCAGAGTACTCTACTTTCCTCATTACCAATGACAACTTGTAAATACCAAGCATTGCCCAATTCTGTGCAGTTGTGTGCTTTGCATAGCCAACAGATTAACACTTACCATTAGTCCCTCATTAAGAACCTAGATAGGACTTGAAACAATTTAATGAAACTTGTTTGAGTTCACTAAATAGAATGGTGTATTTCATTTTTAATTGTACTTTATGTGAAAATTCATGACCAAGACATAGACAGAATGGAAGTAAAGGTT